CCCCGCATCCTGGTAGCTATGCAACGCGCGGTGACGTCTCGAGCGGCGGGGGGGGGAGGGAGCGTTACGTTACCGCTACGCGCCTCTGGCCTGAGTTGCCACGTTGCTGCTGGGTGGGGAGGGGTTCTCCGTTGCGCAACATGTTACAGTATGTTAAACTCCATTTTCACTGTAGCTTGCCGGTCTACCAGGATATTGTCCAAATAATTTTATCGACGATCTTGATCTTTTCCTTTCCAGTTGTTCCAAGAATTGTGCTCCTTTGACCACGGCTGGAGCAAAGCCGAATTGTTGCCCCTAATGAAGGGAAATAGCACTGTTCTAACCCCTCTTACAAATATATTCTATCTATTCCAGTTGCTCCCATTTAGCACATAGGGCATCCATGAAATGCTTTGTTTCACTTCAGTTTCTTATTCTTATACAGTTGGTAGGACTCCTTGGATGGGGGATAAGCCCGACACAAGGCCATTACCAACACAGGAAAACACAGAATAAACGCAGACATCCATGTCTTGAGTGGGATCTGACCCATGGTCCCAGTGTTTGAGTGGGCAAAGACATTTATAAATATACTAACTTTATAAAAAATGTCCCAATTAACAATAACATTTCCTACAGTTATGGAAACTCATTGGTGTCATAATTCTTAAAGCACCTTTTTTTACTTACGCTGTTGCATAACAATCTTCTAAATTAATGTCACGCAATGAACAAGGCATCAAAATAAATTTTCTTTATAAAATGAAGGAAATAAAGGATCAGGGGATGTACATTGTGCCACTTCTGGCAGACACCTGATAAGTCTATGCTGTTGCATTGGCTGCCTCGGACAAATTGGATGAACCATAGTACACAAAAACATTACTCTAATGGAAAATAATAAGCAGTGGTCCTGGCCTTCAGCATCAAGCCTTTGTCCCTTCCATTTAAAACAATACTGTACATTGCTGTCAGTTAAAGAGGATTTACGTTAAGGGCTACCACAAGTATGGACTGCCTTGCATTTGTGCACTATGTACTAAGAGATGCATGCAATGTCACCTAAGAGACTGTGGCAACAGAGCACAATTACTGGATTCTCTTGCAGTACACTGGTGACTACACAGATAGGCAGTTTGCAACACAGCATTCAATTTACATATACTCTTTATGAACTGCTTTTCCTCACATTACACAAACACACACACAGAGTAAACCCTTGTCCAATGCAAGGGTTATGTCTCTTGATAGTGGTGTATCTGGTGAATCCACACTAGACGAACTTAACTGGGATGCCACGGGAGTTAAATATTTACACTGTTACATATGCTGAATAAATGAAATACAATTGTTAAGTATGTATGCGGAAGATAAACCATCATTCTAAACGTCAGCAGTTATTTTTCGTACATTATTGCATTTTATTTGGCAGATCATGTATAATCAAGTTTCCCACCTTCAGAAATCATTGTTCACATTTATTTTGACTCGTCCAATTGAATCTGCATTGTATGATCTGCTGTGTGTGCATATAAATTTTAAATGAAATCTTGCTATATTTGAAGGGGCAGAACCCTTTTAACTTACTACACTCTTACTCTGAGTAATTCCTGAGAATAAACTTTCATATGAAAGGATTTCCATTCTTCAGACAATAAATACTGATGAATAATATTTTTCTTAAATTTATGTTTAATTGGAGTTTACTAGTGAAATAGTTTCCATTTATTGAGAGTTAATTTTATACTGGTAATCACTCTATATTTTTTGGGACTCTCAGATCTCCTGATTACATACATATAATAAATGAAACAGGGTCCAATATGTGGAAGATAGTAACAGTACCTTCACAAAATTTCTTCACCATAGTACTTTACACATCCTAAATGCTTTTAAATGTGGCCACCTGCACTTCATGATTTTGATGTTAATCACATCAAAAATTTTAGTCATTAAAACTTTGACACACTGTACAACAAACATTATGTGCATTATTTGCTACTGTTCAATTCAATATGACGATAACATTATAAATGCATGTAATAGTCTATAAGAGTTGAGAATGCTGCAAACCCTGCAGCTCCAAATATCCCAGCCTTGATACCAGCTGTAACACAAACAAAAATATATGTAAACCAAGTGTAAGCAGTTTGCCAATTCTGTGATACTTCTCCATGAAAGGTAGTGGAAGCCTCAACCATTTGGGATGAACTGCTTACATTAAGCTTGTCCTTACTATATATCTGAAATCATTTGGAAATTCAAGTATGTGATTCACATTTTAGAAATACCACTGAATACATCATCATTCCATCTTCCTCAGTTCCATGCCTCCTGTATGTATAAGTAAATATATTCCAACAGGGCTCCTTATTCAGATAGATATGCTCATCAGTTACGTTCTAGGATATTACTGTATTTCATCTGATAATTCATATGCAATTATTTTTCCTTTTAAATGAAGAAAACAACAATTCACTACATATTTAATTAACTGCATTATTGTGTATGGAACAACATATCAATAAGTTGTCTGTAAACTCTGAAAGACACTGAAGTATGTATAAAATTCAAAATGAGAGCATAGACACAGCAACTTGAAGACAGAGTAAAAGTATCTCTCCGCAACATGATATGTGGCATGTCCCTGCACCCATGCAAAGCAATTGACGGGGCATATTACGGATCATTTCCTTGTGAATAATATAGTTTCTTTTTTGGTAGATTACTTAATTATCCTTTCAGTATGAAGGCCATATAGGATCTGATGGTTAGATGACAAATGGATGATCAAGTGGAATGGATTTGGAAGGAAGCAGTTGTGGCCTATGAAGGTAAAATTCTGGTACTTTCTTGAAAGAACTGATGAAAATCAATCATCACACAATGATGTAAGTCATTACATTGTCATTTTATAGTTACTATATTCTGGTTTCAGTATACAATGGAACCAAAACTGTCATATTGCAGACCTCATATAGCACACAGGACTTTTCTTCTGTAAGGCTGTTTACCTGAAGTGACATACCCTCGAAGATGTTTTAGACAAAATATGCAGACACACAAATGTGTACATGTACATGTGTGTACACAAACACACTTCATACTCCAAGGGCTAAAACCTATGTGTAATATGTGTAATATTAGCACTGACTTGCCTCTATGTCCCAGAAGACTCCTCAACCATGGAGTACAACCTACCAGATTTTACTTGCATTTAATATCTCTGCGCAGAAGCCAGTCCAATACATAACACAATATATGAAAACTAAAACAAATATTCATGCGTGGGATAAATCAGTTGGTATAGCAACTACGCTACATGGTCCATGACAGTAGGATTAGATTCCTGCCAGTGGCAAGAGACTCTTCTCCATAACATCCAGACTGGTTCTGGGGATCACACAGCCTCCTATACAATGGGTACTGGAGGATTATTTCCCCAGAAGTAAAGCAGCAGAGATGTGTAGCTGATTACTCACCTCCACCTACAAGGAGTGCCGAGGTCATGAGTGATGGAGCTGTACCTCCAATGCCTCATGTGTCTTCATGGTGTGGTGCTTAATTTATTAAGCCCAGGGACAACTTTACCTCTAACTTTACCATCAATCTGATTACCTCTTAATCCTATAATACCTCCAGTAATACCCCCGGCATAGGTTCCATTACGCCAATCTGACTTCCCTCGATACTGAAACATATAAGCATAATAATGAGAAATGAGCTGTACAATTTCAAACAGACATTGAAGATCTGATTACTGCATGACGACCACTTGTTGCACATGTAGCATATAATGTAAATTTTATGACATAAAATGAAAGAAATTCTGTGGCCCACAGTTCACAAGTGAACTATACCAACCAAGCAACTGCACTTGTCAGCAAAGTTAGTGCCAACTTTTACAGATAGAGGGTGTTGCGTGATCAGCGCAAGAGATCCCCATGGCTATTAATCTTGGTTTTATAGACCAGAGCTGCTATTTGCTTGAAATAGCACCTCAATTATCCTCATGAGGCTGAGTGGACCCCATTCCAGAACCACTATTTCTCAGAAAATCTGGTAGCGTTGGGAACCAAATGCGGGACCTCTGGATCTGTAGCCAGGAACTCTGACCACTAGACCACACATATGGAATAATTACTGGCCCACAGCACATTTATATGCTTACTTTTTGCAAAGAATAGAAAATGAGTGTATAGTGAAGTTATGTGTCTGTGTAGCACAGTGTACACAGTTCATTTTGCAAATCACTTAACTAACTTTGATGAAATTTGCTAACAGTGCTTCTGTACTAAAATATGTCAGACCCAAAATCATGCTCGAGTCAAACTCTATCATGCTCTCTAGATTGTCACTGTAAAAGGTGCAATATGTATGATATAGATCCTTTCATGACATCTGAGGCTTTCATATAGGTCTCATTAACACACGTTATATTTATTTGAATAGTTTTTAATGCGAGACACAATATTCACTGGAGAATTAGATACATCTTTTTGCCTTATAACTGACCCTTAAAGTAACCTTGCGTCTTTATACAAAACATTTATAATGCAAACACAGTGAACTTCGAAAATGTGGTTAAGACACAAGGGGCCAGGCTTTTCTTTTCACATTATGAGAAATGATTGGAGCATGTGAAACAGAAAAAAGTTGAATTATTAATTATGTTTGTTAACTTTTATTATCAATAATTACTACTTGTAGTATTTTCAGAAAAATGTTTAATTAGTGCTTCTTTCCCATACAGTTCCATTAAAGTGCAAATAAGTATTAAAGAAAGTACTGTATATTCACTAAATTGTACACATTTTTGAATACTTACTTCTGAAATTACTACAACTATACTGCACTAGGAGGTACGGCATGTGATGAAACACCAGGCAAAGCTAATATATTACACTGTGCAGCATGGTACCCCCACTACTCTTCCACTCAGTCAACAACTAAAATGTATTAATAGTACAGGGGCATGAAGAGCAATGAGTGGTGCAAAATCAGAAGAAAAAAATGTGGTTAAATGATAAAGCCAGCAGACCCATAGTAAACACGTTAATTGTATGGTACTTTCTTCAATATAAATATGCAAAGGAATTACTGGGATGTCAATTAAGCAGTCACATACTATATGCATCATACAGGTGCACTGGTTAAAATGTTTTTCAAATTCGTTATATTATATGAATGTTATTATTCAGCATTCAAACTGAACAAGAATCAAATAAGAGAAACCGACATAAGAACTAACCGATTCAATAGAGCACTCCACTGCTGAGAATACAGCACCAATCATTGCAAAATTCTTTGCATAGCTAATCATACTTCCCTTCATCTCTCTTAGAACTTCCCTTGCTGATGGTTGCTTTGCATCTCCAATTGGGACAGTTGGGTTGACACTGGCTGAAAACAGACCAATGGCAGCTCCCAAACCATAACCTGAAAAAAACACACCCAATTAACACCAGCACTTTTCAGATTTCTTAAAGCTGCCCCTTCTTATCATTTCATACCCGTTTCCTTTGAAATCAGCTAATATTCAAAAGTTAAAATTCAATTCAATTCAATTTTATTTCATCCATGAATCATTATACATGATATGGGACAAGTCAAAGATTAATATTAATACTAATACTAAATAGTAATAAGAATATAATAATACAGAAATAGTATGCCAAATTATAATAAATGATGATGATGATGATAATAATAATAATAATAATAATAATAACAACAACAACAATATAGTAATACAGAGATAATAATATGACAGTACAATTAGTCTTGAAAACAGTTTCTGTGGTCTTAAATCCTCCATATGTCCTATTGTACCTTTACTGGTGGTAATGCCTATGGAGATTTGATGGAATGAGGACTGGCAGGGGATCATGTATCATGTATCATGAAACTTTATTGGAGAGCATTGAAAATGTACATTTTGAAGCTGGTAAAAGGATATTGCTATTGTCTTCTCTTTATTAATGATTAATCTCTTCCTTTCAAACCATTCTGAAAGTTTTTTTACTGTTTCCTCTACTTTACTCTGGACACTGTCTATACTATTTCCTGTTATAAGACTAGTAGTGTCATCTGCAAAAAGTGTTGGCTTTCCATGTTCTAAGCATGTCACACTGCTTTGTACTTTTGATCTGTCTTCATGGTATAGGGACAAGTTACTGTCCCTTCTGCAAGCTGTTTTCACAAGTTCGCTATTTACAGACAAGTCTAAGTTTGCACATTTTTCTTTTCATATTAGAACATAATCTTACAGTCCTTCAACAGACCAAATTTTGAAGAAGCCGGACTCGGTTACTTTAGTTTCATCTTTCAGTTTTCTGTGGCCTGTTTCCAATGTTAACTTTTTCTTTCGGGGTTTGATCGCGTCATATGATGGAGATACTACAACTCATATATTAAATTGTTAATATTCAGAATTAACTTGACTTGTCCTGTATCATGTACAATGATCTACAGTGACGAAATCAATCAATCAATCAATCAATCGATTCGGCGTATACTACAGTCAACATCTTCAGGCAGAATTTAGCAAAGGTGCAAAACTGGAAGTCTCGAAATGGGAACAAGAGTCACACTTATTATCAACTTACCTGCAACACAGCTCATGAGTGTTTTAAAGGCACAGCTTTCAAATGCAGCTTCAACCATTTTTTCTTCCCTTGTCTTTATTTTAACAGGACCAATTATTCTAGGTATTACTACATTTTCTCTGTATCGTGTATTGTTTCCTATTAGATACAGTGCTAACCTATCCCATTCCTCATTCGTAAAGAAAACCCTTCTATCGCCTTCCTCCTTGTCCATTTTGAAACCAATATCACATTGATCACATTTATACCGAAAACTGTACTTGAAATCAACTTCTCAACAATGTTATCAAGTGAAATATAACGTGAACTGCCGTGTCCAAACACAATTCGATCTGATCATGTACATCGATTCGTATCCCTTTGCAACTCATTGCTGCACAACGTAGCTGCCATGTCACGTAAGCATTAACGATGACAACGCTGCCATCTATATTCTTATGGTTTTTATGCATGTCTGTTGCTACAAAATGAGGGCCGCCAGTGACGATTGCGCGATCGCTAAGGTATGCTAACATAGCGAGCCCATTTCAGATTTCAACAGGACACTGCCCTTCAACCCCTACCACGTTTACTTTCTTACGATTAAACCTCTCTATATAAAACTTGTGTTGTTTATTCACTCGCTGTCCGTCCCTAACTAACTTTCACCACCACCCGACGTGGGTCAATATCACAATCTCCTCCCTAGAACAATTGAGATCAAGTATACTTGAATGCCATCTCGTGTGTATCAAAATATGGTCAGTTCAACTGCGAGTCTGTCCATCAGGTCATGCCCTAGTAAATTATGCATGTTACAATGAACATTATACTTTCAACAGCATGATTTTTTTTTTGATGTGGAAAAGCTTATTATCCTAACACCTGTTAAAAACCTATACCTGATTCATGATTATCATTTCCCTTTCATAAAAATGTATATTCACCTGCTTGTCTGTTGCCACCTGTCTCATTTCGCCTCCTGTACTTCCACTAAACCTAACTTAAAAATGTATATTTCTTTCACAACTGTCATGAACTAACCTGCCTATACAGATGCCTTACATTCTATGTACCAAATCTCATGTCCATTTCTTTAGCTTAGGTCATTTATCCAAAGAATCTGTCCTGGTTCAAGGCCCTTTGTGACATTTCATAACAAGCTTATTTTTAAGTTGAAAAACTGTTAGCCCCACACCCAAACCCCAAGCTGGAGGACCACCCATTTTTGGATGCCCACAACTGCAGCTACCTGCCACATCTGAAGGCAGTCTCCTCCATCTGCAACCTGAGGATGTATCATGCTGTGATGACAAGGGACCCACCTAATATGGAGCACAAAGACATTATTTGTAAATTAAACACCTGTTAACATTTACACATAGGGCAATTGTTAATTTTATCTCATGCACAATATCAAATTAAATCTAAATGCATTCAGTAGTTTTGAAGAGAATATGTAGATGGACACATATTACGTCCATTTATGCACTTCGCGCACAAAGCTCAGAGTGAGAATTTAATTTTAAATACATGGAATTTTCAAACGTGTTTGCAATACTGAATACCTCCTTGATCTATATATCTATTATAGATATAAATCAACTGTTGACAGAAGTGACTAAAGAGTTCAAACAATGCAGAGTAAGTCACATGAATTCTGATATATAGATACTGCACTGAAGCATAGAGTTCTTTATTATTGCACACACAAGTGCACACCATACTAAAAGGTATTTCAAATAAAAGTTACAAAACTTAGTGGGGCTGATGTGTTTATGTGTACCATTTTTTATACTATGAGCTTTTTTTGACATTTATAAACTTCAGTGTACATATAATGTAGCACTATACTGAACTTACAGACAAAAATGAAATACATCCTACAGCTTCTCATATAGCATGCCTGTAACAATTTCATTTAATCTGTTCAACAGTTTTGGATATGCAATATTCATCTGGACAAATGAACACAACCTACCTATTATGCCTTAATTTCATGTAAAGAATGCATAAATCAAACCTGCCACATTTTTTCTTTGGTAGCTAAATGATTTTTCTGAATAAAAGAGACCTTGTTTTCAAGCAACTCGCCTGATTGGTTCCCAGAGAGGTGACTAGAATGTATGCAGTAGGTTAAAGGCAAAAGCAGGACACCAGCTTCACAGTCAGATTTACTTCAACATGTAACTGCCACAATGTCACATTCTTACTTTATCTTTCATGGTTCTGAACAGACAAATTAAGCTACAATAACTGACTGGACAATTTTTTTTTCAATAAATGATGAACCACTGCAGAGGGAATAAATAAAATTGCTCTTGTGCTTGAATCTTTGGCTTTGTGCATTATTATTTCTCCTATTCATTGAATGTAAACTCTTTAACTGCACTGAATATATTTACAACTGAAGTAAAAACTAGCACAAACACAAGCACAAGCTATTAAAGAATTCATATTTGACTAATGTCCCTTGGGAACATAAATACACATAACATAAAATAAAATTTTAAATAGGCCATATTAAAACGGCATGAAGGTGGGTACATAGCTAATATTTGTTGCCAACCAACTCAAAATATTTCAGTTATTCACACAATTTAAAATAAAGGAATCAGTAACCAATATGAAAGGTAATAAAAATATGTTTGCATGTTGCCTCTTCACAGCATTAAACCATCTTGTTACACAATATCAACAGTGGTGCACTAGTCTCTCTTTGATATGGAAGCATAATACTGCAAGGATAACAAACCAACTCTGTAAATATGATCAACAGGTAACTAACCAGCTGTAAATGCTAGTGACCAATATTATTAAATATAATGAAATATTTTTTGCCTATATTTTCACACTTTACTCACTCTACTCAAAAGACACAAAATTCAATCTCAAGTATTTCAAGTGCAAACTGGCATACAAGGCTTCCATTGCAAACTAGAAAAACATTTCCAAATATAGTAATTATCAAGCAAAAATCTGATATGGCTGTATTCAATAATAAAACAATTAACCATGGCTGTATGAAGTTTGAAGTAACATTTTGACACACACATTCAAAAAGTATAAGAAGCATAAAACAGTGGACATGTACATTTAGGTATCAAGAGTACGCAAAAAAACAAATTAATATGACCATCCTCACTCAATCCAACATTTCAGAACAGACTATAAATTCATATGTCAGTATCATAACATATAACAAACTCAACTGCAACTGCACCATATCATTAGCACCCTTTTCTTTAAACTTTATCACCAGCACCTATCATACACTGATATTTGCTATTCTTCAAAATATTATTGTTAATTCTTGCATACAGCAATAACAATGAAAGGTACACTTGTATTGTTATGTTACAACAGTGTAGAATTTAAAAATGGCTCCTGTTCTGTCCAGCAGAGAAAAGGAACGACTGTAAAGATCACTTTTTAAACTTTCAAATATGATCAAAATATATATTACATTAAACTTGTGACCATTATTATTTATTCAAGGGTGAAAATTTTCACTTGCTGAATAACTTTCAAGGTATAATACAGACCCAAATGTCCATGTATGTATTACTGAATGTCCAAATCATTCATGTACACACACTCTCCATCTTTAAATTTTAATGTTGAGTTTATTAAAGGTTTGTAAAACCATGCAAAGTCATACACACAAATACTGTTTGCTGCTCTATTTTATGACAGTCTTCACAGTCTGTGATTTGTTGTAGGGCCATATGGTGAGTTGGAGGGGTAAGTAAAGACCATAACTTCATTTCCCACCTTACACTACACTATGCTATTACTGTACTTAATAGTTATCACTACTTATTGCTCCAATGCAGTGAACTGTTCATAATACATTATGCACAAGATGAAAATAATGTAATTTTGGACTGTTCATGTTCCTCTCATTAGCACAGCTAATTGAGAGTACGATGTACTCCTTGAGATAATCTAGACACTATTAAATGATCAGACACTTAAAGACACTATGATCACTATAAAAATGACCACACACTCATTGATTCCCTTGTTACAGTAGGTTCAGTGAGACCTGAGCTATGGCTTTGAGATGTACAGCAGTTTTGCAACCAGAAGAGAGTTCGGGGGGTAAGCTGATCTCCATGTCTGGAGTGCTGTGACTGAATTGATGTCATGTGTTAAGTTTCATTTAAATAACATTTGCCCATTTATAATTAGGCCTGTCATTTTCAGACATCTCAGATCTAATGTCCAACCAAACAACTTGTACATATATTTCAGCATTCATAAGTCCTGCCCTTTTATAACAACCAACAAACTGCATAATACAATACAAAGAGCTTGAATACAGCAAGACTGCTCGGTTTAGTGCTCTGCTGTCAAGTTCTCTGTACTCCATACACAAGAAAGAATGTTACACACTAACTGCAGTGTATAAAGTTTAGCCCATTCCTTTACTTAACAACACAAAAGTCTGAATGTCAATTTAAACTATATATTCGACAGGCCAACAAAAGTTTTGGAAACAGAAACTGACTCAGTGAGCAAGCAACTCTGTGAGATTATAATGACCTTCAATTTCACACTAGGATAATGTGAATATCTGCAGTGCACTCTATCTCAACATCAACCCAACCCCATGCAAGATTTTACCTGTATGTGTATTCGTGAAGTCCACTGTAATATGTGATGATCACTGTCTCATAGACACGGTGTATGGACAAACTTTATATAACATGAAACACTTGAATCAATTCTAAAGGGTTCTGACAATGATATGTTGCAATGAGGATAACTCAGTTTCTGGACTTTGTCCATCATTTACTATCCTGAAAGAACACATTTTGCAACCTGAATCTTTTTCCATCCTCTCATAGATGGCTAAAGAAAAATAGACCTTGTCCAGAGGTTGACATTAGCTCTTCCCAACACAGCCAACTAAGTGCCTCCCCACCCTCTCACCCGAGGACCGGAAACAGATCCAATTTCTGGAATGTGTTCATTCAGATACTAGATGATGGACAAAGCCAAGAAACTCAGTTATCCTGACTAAAACACACATACATTTCAGTCTGAAACATGGTATCAATCTACAAGTATCTCATATATAGGTATAACCGAAAATACTCGTACAGTCATGTAAAGGTGTAGTCCATACCGTTTAACTAACCCAAAATTTAACTTGGTTCACAAATTTGAAGAACCCTTTATAACAAATTAAAATTGAGAAATACAATGGCATTTGTTTGCATAAATGCCATTAATATAAATATGCATTTGTCATTTATCTGCAGTCCAGTCTCATGGATTATATGTTCATCAAAATAATTCCCACCTGTGTTATGACACACATGTTCCATCAACCTTATGCTGCTCTTTGCTTCATGTATATCACATTCATAGGCACAACATCCAAGAGTCTCAGATTTAATCCAAGAATTATCAAATTTTATCCACCTTTTCAGAGACAGGATACAAACCTATTTGGTTTCAACTATATTTTCAAAGTTGAAACTTTTTAACAATATTTTACTTGTGCAAATACATAATGAACACACTTTCCTAAATATTTAATTAAAGTACTTTATACTAAAATTATGTTTATAAATTACAATGT